TTTTTTTTTTTTCGGAACGATAGAAAGATTTATTTATTGAAAAGGGCTAATACACTATTAGTCTAAAATACTATAATTCTTGCAAGGTGCAAGTTGTTTGGTGCTAAATCATTCATTGTGTATGTTCCCCTTTAACAGTACTCAGTCACATATAGTGCCACTGGGAGAGTATAGGCTAATTGCAATAATTATTAACAGACAAAGTGAATTATCGTGGCTCAAATTCAATAATTATGATTAAATTCAGTAATGGAATGTGACCTGATCTGTCTATAACTTTCTATAACTTTTTTATTTTTATTATTATTATTATTATTATTATTATTATTATTATTATTATTATTATTATGGTTATTGTTAGCAGAGATGGTTAGGCGATTGTGATTTTTCAATGAATATATATATTTTTAAATAAAATGTGATGTTAAAAAAAAACATAAAATAAAATAAAAGTATGACGTTTCATATCAATGGAAATGCTACGGTCCGTTACGGTACCATCCTGTTGGTGTTTTAACCGTTGGATCCACGTGTAGTTAAATAAGATAGATGATCAAACGGTTAAAACACCCGACGGGATGGTACCGTAACATTTCTCCATATTATAAAATGTATTTCTGATTAAAAAAATGATGAAAGATTATAATACAACAACTTTACTGTTTTCTATTTGCAATTAGTACAACGCTCGTGTATTACACGGGTGCTTGCTAATTTTTTTCCTTAAAATCTATAATTAATGAGAAAAAGTAGTTGAATTATTTGTGTGACTTACTTGTGTTATATTATAATAATTTTTTAACTTACAACATATAACTACATTAAACATAAATATATCAACTGAAAAATAATTTTATTTTTCTAAAAAGTTTTAATAAATATTATTATTATTTTTTATTATAAAGATAAATATTATTTATTTATTTTATATATACAATATGGATGTCAAATCGAAGATCATGAAAAGATGATTAATTTGATATATTATATATGTAAAACCGATAAGAAATACAAAAGTTATCAACTTTTAAAATACATTTATAATTCAATAGCTAATTGAAGGAAACAAATCAAAAGTCATAGATATATTAGTCACTTAATGACTCACTATGTAAAATTACAAAGAATTAAAAGGTTATATTAGTACAAGTGATATTAAAATACCTAAGTTAGCTAAATAATATTTATAGAATGTTCGAACCTAGATTATTAATTATTAATATATCAATATTATTTATCCAAACCTAATTACGAAGCATGATTCTTCGCCAAGTAAGATTCCGAAGCACCAGATGCAGCCACGGAGGCTCAGCGCATTCGGGAATTATATATAGGGAGTGGATATTAATGCCACTACTTTAATTCCTTTTAACAACAATATAATATAAAATATATATATATATATATATATATATATATAT